TCAAAGTTTTTTTCAATTTTCTTCTTTTAATATCTGTGGCATTGATGTCGCTATGGTGTGTGTTATCAGGCTGATTTAACCAACAAGGTTTGAATAAATTGTAAAAGAAGGAATTTTGGTCCTTGATATAATCTTTAAATATAAAAGGGTTTGCTAGAAAGATACACTCTAATTCTACTACTCTGGTGTGTTTACTTTAAGTGGGTTTCATAGCACGTAGAAAAACTTGATGACTCCACTAGTTTATTGCCCAACAAATTTATCAAATTTTAAACTCAAATTGGTTGGTGATAGAAATTATTTCATTGTTATGGTCAGTATTCTCATTTCATCATACCAACTGCAAAACAATATGACACTGATAAATTCAAAGAATATTTTTAAGTTTTACTTAATATATCAAAAGAACATACATATGACAAATGAAGAGATAAAAAAGAAAAATAAAGCATTAAATGTACATTTGAAAAATTAATTTAAAACGAGTTAGATAGGGTGCAGCCCTAACATTCTACTTGTAAAAGACGAATTACAGAGGGAATGTCTGACCCTTTTTTGAATAAAAGATAAACCACATGTTAACACTAGTAACACTAATCCATTTCTGACTCTTAAGCCTAGTCATTACTGAATAGGTACAAGAAAACAAACTAAATCAAACGCAACCTAGTGGAATAAGAAACATCCTTAAACTTCATTTGTTAAATAGAAAGATGAAGGAATTTATGAAAATTGTTAATCAACTTTTTCTATGAGAGTGTAATAATCACAAAACATCACCTGTGAATTATATATCAAGGGAGTAACTCTCTCCCTCCTGTACAACTCTTTATTTACATATATATTGATTCGGTATACACAAGCACACACACATATCAACATCTTTTTTTCCACTTTACTGAGCATTTGTTACACCTTTCATATATTTTGTTGAAATGTGAATATTATATATTATAGAAATGTGTAAATCCTCACCAAAATTTTTTCAACATCCACAATATCCATATTGACATGGAATACCAGGCCAACAGGAGCAATATCATTTCCTCTCTCAAATAGAAGAGGTAAAGTTGATTCAGATTGGAACAATATGGGTATAGAAAGAGAGAGAGCAAAAGAGAGGAGAGTGAGGGAGAAATGACTATAAACTAGTTAGAAAATTGCTTTAATGGTCCATATACTAAAACTGCTTTAATCATTTCCTCTCTCAAATATATATACTTTGTTCCTAGCAAGAAGTCTCAATACATGTTTTTATGCAGAATAATGAATGGGCTAGGTAACAAACTAGATACAAAATCATGCTTCATTAATCAGGTAGACAAATGTTCTCAATAATTATAAAGCCATTTTCATTAAAAAAAAAAAATTTAATAAGTACATACCTCGATTGTTGCTGTGTTTGGTGAAACAAGTTAACACTGGTGGTGACTCTTGCAACAAACAGAAGCAAGTAGGAGGAGAAATAAATAGAAGCTGCTTTTCGCAACAAGTAGAAGCATAAGTAGGAGCACAATATGAAAGTAGAAGCAGATGAGAAGATGAGAAGCAAACGACATCAAAGAAAAAAATGACAGGTTTAGATATAAGAAAAATAAAATTTAAGAAATGATAAAACGAGAATTAATAAATAATTGTGAAGATAAACGAGAAAAAAAAAATTTCAACTATTAAAAACTA